ATAATTTACAACATTCGCAGAAAAAATATGAAGGTACTTAAGAAAAATGTCATACTATGGACATTTTTGATACTAAGTGATACTAAAAAGAGAAGTGATACTAAAAGAGAACCTTTTCAATAGAAATTTCAATAGAACTGCTTTGAAATGCTACTTTATTGATAAGTGAAAACAGGTTCTTTTATGACTTAAGTTATAAAAGCTTATAGTTTATCAGTTTCCTCTCCACCCTGCAATTACCTACAGGAAGAGATTGGCCATAGGTTCTATTTTATGAGTTTTATAGGGGCACATTCACTCCAGTTTACATACTATGAATTCCTGGAAAATGCTATAGATTGGCGAAAATGAAGTGCTTCCTCTAAATAAAAGATATTTCACTTGAACTCATGTATTTATCCATAAACAAGCTGCCCCAAATATTATGTTAAAATACAGAACAGCCATATTCTTACCTACATATATGTATAAGGTATAGTACACTAAAGTGTAATATATTTACAATACATAGCAATCTTGTGAACCTACAGAATAGGCTAAACAATAACAATCTAACAATAATAATTCAAAATGCTGCAGAATAAGTACAGATACCATCTCATCCAAGAGACTCAGAATAAAATTTGTATGATTCAGATCAGAAGATTTATGAATGAGTTTAATGTAAAGGGCAAGCAACATCACAAACATCTCAGAAATATTTGCAGAACAAAATAAATCTAAAACACATTAAAGTTTACTACTGACGAAAAGTTATGTACAAAAATTTATCAATCAGCCCTTAGAAAACTTAGGAGTGTAACTGCAGAGTAAGTGTATCAATAGCTTGTAAACTGGTCTTATAACTAAGACAGACGTGGTGAATGAGACAGATAATGAATTAATACTTAAATTTCTGGGCTGGCCTGTTAGCACAGTTGGTTATAGCATAGCCTTATAACACCCTGGTCATGGATTTGGATCCCAGTAATAGCCAGCCAACAAAACCGAACAATACCTTAAATTTATTTCCTATCAGGCTAGAATATTTTAAATGCTAATAATTAAAGGAATATTTAGACAAATAGCAGTGTTCCATAATTGGTATAATCCTGATGAGACAGTGTACATTTTATTTCAACCTGTTCTGGTAGATGTACAGGCTTCTGTGAAAATGTAAGCTGTAATTTTATAAACTTCCCAACAAAATCCATTTGTTAAAATAAATTTATTATCATTAACAGGAGTTAGAGGATCACCAAATTAAGAAATGAGTAATGTCAGTTGGTATTACAGGTTTTTTCACTGGAAGAGATAAAAAAGCAATATTCCTCTAATCACTAAAAATTTTTTATAAATTCAACATGGCTTACCATGTTTTAATGTCTTTTACATGAATATTAATTCCACCAGAAAATATGAAAAGCTATGGGATCTGCCATGCATATGATAGTACATTAAAAGGCAGATATGTTTTACCTATGTGCTTTGGGGAAAATTTCTTTGATAGTTGCTATTTCTCTTTGATTTGCAAATAAGACCTTCATTTAAAGTAAAAGAGGACTCAAGCCTGTGCTGACTTAACTATTAACTAACTTTTACACCTGCCTGTTAGGGCTCAAACAATGACCTCTGATTAATCTCAGGTTGATAATATTCTTAATTTACTATTGGCTATAAGCAGGTGCAGGGAGTTAATGTGGCATGATCTAATTATTTTCATATAATCTAATATTATGATTGTCATATATCTTATTTGCTTTTCCTGTAAGAGTATAGTGTCTGACTATCATTCAGGACAATAATCAGTGAAAAAAAAAGCCACACATTTAACCATCAAATCTGAACTAGGACAACAGGTATAAAGAAAATAAAAGAAAATCTATAATATACTAGCAGGTCAAGCAGGTTACCTATACAAAAGAATAGCTATCAGGCATATGTCTAATGTCTTTCCTGCAATACTAAATGCCAGAGGGCAAACATGATCAATTTCCATAATGTTTTGAAGGGGAAAGGTTATGCCCAAATAATTAAAAACCTTGGCAAGCTGTCTAATGCAAAGACAATTGAGCTATTTTTATATATGTAGACTCAAATAATTCACCTCCCATTTTATATTTCATGAAAAAATAACTTGAAAATGTACTCTTAGATATAAACAAGATTAAGAGGTTAGCATGCAAAAAAAGAAGTGATTATAGCCAGTTAAAAAGAGAGGTTTGATTCTTTTTGAGGGGAGGCTCATACCATATGAGGATATTCTTTTTCAATTTCTGTTAAAGGCATCTCAGAAAAACATCTGGTACTATTTATGTCAGAAAGAAAAAAATCTCCAGCAAAAAAATCAGAGTTCATGTAATAAATGAGAAACAAAAAAGTAAACAAGTAAGTTAAAAAGAGGGAGAGGGAACATAGAACAAAGGGACAGAGGTGGTTTTGTTCCCAGGCTAATCTATGTTTACTTAAGGGACACTGCATTATATTATAGTGCTACAGGATCGAACTATCCCCTATAACCATATAGTTACTGAAATGTTCATTCAGAATTCCAATGTGAGATGTAAAGAAACATATCTTCCCCTGGAACAGAGGCCTGAGAAATTCTCATTTACTCATTTCCCTCACCTGCGGAATAGCTGCAACTAGCATCTAGCACTCTCCAAGACCCAAAGCCACTAATGGTGGTACTTGCATAAAGAGGGAAGTAGGAATGATAATGAGTAAAGAAATTTTACCCACTGAGAAATTGGGGTTAGGTATGGGGGTCAAGAAATCATTCAGGGCTCCAGCATCAGATATTCTGAAATCCTGGCCCACTTCCATTCTTTTTTTCCCTCAGGCTCCAGGAATGACTTAAATCATGGTATTTTTCATTTTTGGGCCAGTAGTCCACAAAACTTGGACTTAACAAATACTCCATCTTATTTAATTTTTGTACAGGCTCCTTCCTATTTCCCCTATTCTAAACATTTCCTTTTATTAAACCTGTGTGCTCTTATTTAAGAAAAATAAGAGCACACAGGTTCAAGGATAAAAATGAGGTAAAACAATATTTCTGTGAAAATCAGACTTTACCTGTCCTGGGGACCAGAGGGCAGTGGATAATGAACAGATTTGTAATTCTATTTAGAGGTTATGGAGAAAGGACCAAGGGTAGTTGTCAGCAAGCTGGAGGACTGCGGGGGAGAGGGGTAGTAGAACATCCTTAGTTTGTAGTAAAGAGACAGAAGCAGAACTGCAGCTAATCCTGCCTTTAAAAAAACTCCATCAAAAATGAAGCTTGGCTCAAGCCAAAGCCTAGGGAACTAATGGGTGTTTGGGGAGTGCATGTATGAATATAAACCAAGTGTATTAAACTTATTAATTGTACAGAGTAGAAATGTTATTAATATATTAGGAGCTACCATTTCATGATCCAACTGGAAAACCATGATTAAAAGACCAGCAATACCTAAACTATTATGCATTAGATTTAATTCATGGAGTTGTGTGGGGATAATTTGGGCACTACTGTAAATGTTGATACCATTATTTCTTATGATTTCATATGGATTAGTTTCTATTACTTCATCATTTAATTAGCATGGGAATCTACAGTCAGCCTAGAGAGTATTAAAAAACTGCCAGGCTGCATTTTACTGAGTTCCAGAATGTACAAAGAAAATAGAAATGTAAACACAGGTGCCATACGAAAGCCAATAAAATAAATTTCAAAAGTATGTAAAATAAACCATCCACTGAGTATATTATTCAAATACATTAAAAATAATAAATTTTCCTTAACTGCTAATCTCCTATTTTTAAAATTAAAGAATATAATTTACATAATGTTATGGCTACTCTTTTAGCATACTTTCTTTTTAAAAAAAATTTAATTTAATTTTTTAATTTTTTTAAATTTTATTTTGTCGATATACAATGTGGTTGATTATTGTGGCCCATTACTGAAACCTCCCTCCCTCCTCTCTCCCCACTCCCACCCAACAATGTCCTTACTGTTTGCTTGTCGTACCAACTTAGCATACTTTCTAAAGGATAACTGAAACATATACTAGAGTCAATTACTTTTTTATGATTACGCTGATGACTAATTCGTCTTTTCTGGAGCCCCACATATTAAGTTATCAAACATGTTAAATCAATCATATGGATTTATTAGCAATCGAAATGGAGTTAACTTGCTAGTGAGGCAAATATTAATCATCAATAAAATTCAAATACAGTTTAATATTGTCTTTATGTTCTTAAAAAAAGTATTACAAAAATCTTTCTCACAATAGGAAATGATAAATCGTATGATGTACTTAAAAGACTAATTGTAAAGAAAGGATTAAAAAAAGATTATATTTAGGGAAAAGAAGGATGTACTCTAGTCTATATAATCTTATGAATCTTTCAACTGGAAACTAGCAACTGATGTATATTTCATACAAATATATTCAGAGACTAAAAGGGAAATCTAATTCTCTTCCTTCTATATTACCTTCTATAATACTTTGTAATACAGTGAACAGTTACGGTAATTGTTAAATGCCTTTTGTTGTCTGATAGTAATAGATCAGGGAGAAAAGATAAGATTTCACCTCTATAATAAAAAAGCAAAGTAATCTGTAAGAGAAATGAAGTATAATAGCCTTCTTTCACTATTACAAAACATTCAGTTTAAATAATGATGCTAATGCACAAAATAACATTCATTTTAAAAAGGGTGTAAATCAGCTGGCATAAAGATTTACATTTCTTTATATCAACACTATAAACTACCCTTAAGTTAAAACATTAATATAAACAAGTATCTGTAAAAATGACACAGTATCTTATTTTCCTGTATCTTGGCAAAAATTAGCCAGCTGTCTTCATTAATTGGAAAACATAATGTTAATTTTCTCGCAGGGATACAGCTTTTGGCAAAAGGGAGGTAATAAGAGTTTTCGGCAATGGTATTTTGTGTCACTGTAACCAGTACCATCTTGTAGTTTCTTATCAGTCTTAACAATACAGAAAATAGACTGCCTTACCGTTGGTGCTGTGTCTACCTGACGGTTACAAGGCCTTCTTTCTACACTTATAATCCCTGCGGAAAGAAAAGATCGTAAATATTTAGTTATTATGCCTATCCATTTTATTTTGAAAACATTTATATCAGTAAGACATGACTCATACAGCTTATAAGAAAAAAGCCTCACTCAGATAGCTTTAAATAATACTTCTGAGAATACTTTAAAGTTATATCATGAATTATTCAGTGAGAAACAGCTGGTGACTTTAGTTAACTAAGACACCTGACTCAAGGTTAGCTAAGTCAATTTTCTCATTCAAGTGGTGTCCAGCAACAGCACAAGATGTGTTCATATCATGCTCTCAGCTCAAAAATTATACCATTAGCTGGGCTCTGCTACATTTCTTCCATGGATATTTTATTTCTGACTTGAGGTCATTAAGTTTTTGTAAAGCAATAGCACAAAGGCTGTGAAAGGAATCACTGCTGCCTTATTTTCTCAAAAGAATACTCATGAATCTACTTGAATTTCTTTTTGATCATCTGACTTCCTACTATGACATATTCAGCTATTTATTCAATGACCATAAAGTGTCTGAAGAAAAAAAAGTTCCCCTGATTCTCTCCTTTAAAATGATAACCCTGACGGTTAATGTTAGAAATATCCTTTTTTCATGTGGGGATTTATCTTTTTGTTCCCAATGTCCTCTACTGCGCTTCTTTGTAATAAACAGTCTTTATGGATATAACATACTGCATCTCATCTGTAAAAATACTGGTTCAAAGTCTTGCTCAAGTTAAAAAATGAACATAGGTTTGCGTCCCATTTACTTCCCAATTGTCAGTAAACTGACATGAGTTAGTTTGTTCAAATAATTCTCAAGGCTATCACACACAGGACTGGTTAGAGGTGAGAACTGCAATGTCTGTTGATAGAAATTAGCAACATTCCTAGTTGAAAAATAATGTTAGTTCCTCTCTTTTATAAGCATTTAACTCATCTTTTTTTTTTCTTAAAGTACGATAAGGGATTAAGTGAGATCAACACCAAACAATCACTTTTTTCCATTTTGCAAAATATACTTCAAATGAACAAAGCACCATGAAACATCATTAGAAAAACATATAGTTTTTGTTGCAAGATTTTTTTCAACATCCACTATTAGCTAGTGAAGTGTAAAATACTATATACTGCCTTCATTCAATCAACTAGTATTTATTGAGTGGCAATCTGGCACTCAGTGATAAAAAATGTATAAATTATGATTTCTGACCTCAAGAGTCTAGTAAAACAGAAATGTCCTTTTTTTGAAGAAATACCGCAGAGCAAATAGGTTTTGTCTTAATTATAATAACAAGGTCTTTAAAGTAATTTTGATGGAAAGGTGTTTTTTTATTCATAGAGTAACATGGGCCTTGACTTAAATTTTTTTTCTAAAAAAAGATGAGTAAAACATACTGGAAAATATTCAAGGAATGCAGATTCTTGTTGTAATACTTTAGTAATACATGAGTATACAGAACAAATCTTGAAACCCTCATTTCCTCAGCTCCCACACTCCTCCTAGTTGCAATCACTGAGAGCAGTGTGGCATGACACACTGGCTTTCAAATGAGAGTGGTCATACCGTGGGGTTCAGGAATTAGAAACATCTTACATGTGTTCTTACTATTATAATCTGTCTGCTATAAAATTGACCTAGGCTGATTACTGATTTTAAAATTCTTATCCAATTAGAAAGTAGCTTTAATTGGGGGAAAAAAAAAGTGCCTTTAAAATTATGAAAACTGGGGCCGGCCCGTGGCTCACTCGGGAGAGGGGGGTGCTGATAACACCAAGGCCCCGGGTTCGGATCCCATATAGGGATGGCCGGTTCGCTCACTGGCTGAGCGTGGTGCTGACAACACCAAGTCAAGGGTTAAGATCCCCTTAGCGGTCATCTTTAAAAAAAAAAAAAAATTATGAAAACAAAAACAGGAAGCCCCCAAAATATATATCTTCAGCTTATACAATTACAAAGAAAATAACTACATATTTTATAGTTTCAATTTCAGGATAAGAATGTGTTAAAAACCAGAATTTTAAAAAGTGGATTACCCAAAGTTATAATCTTAATTTTAAATATAGATTGCATATATAAATAGTATTGTTCGGAAATACAATTATACATGTTTGTTCAAGCTTGCAGTAAAAAATGTACAGAAAGGAGTAAGCTTAAAGAAATATCCCAAAATAGCTTCCTATTTTAAATAAATTTTACTGAAAAAATATCACATTTTACTTTTATTAAGGTATAATGATAAGTGACAGCTCATAACAAGTAGCCTTGCTGTAATGGTTAATTTTATGTGTCAATTTGGCTAGGCTGCAGTATACAGATATTTGGTAAAACATTATTCTAGCTGTTTCTTTGAAGGTATTTTTATAGACGGGATTAACATTTAAATCAGTACAGTAAGCTCTGAGTAAAGCAGATTACCCTCCATAATGTAAGTGGGCCTCATCCAATCAGTTGAAGGCCTTAAGAAAGTGACTGACCTTCCCAGTGAGAGGGAATTCTGCCAAAAGACTGCCTTTGGACTCAAATGCAATTTTTCTCTGAGTCTCCAGCCCGTTGGCCTGCCCTGCAGATTTTGGACTTGCCAACCTTTACAATGGCATGAGCCAATTCTTTAAAGTAAATCTCCCTCTCTTTCTCTATACACATCCGGTTGGTTCGGTTTCTCTGCAGAACCTTGACTAAAAATACACTTACTTTCTGGGAAACATGAAATAAACGAAAAAAAAAAACTTTATTAAATATATTAAATGTGCAGGGATACAGTTAAAACTCTAAGTTATTGTGGAATACTTTAAAATTAGAATATCTCCAAAAGAACTTAAGAATACAGAACATCTGTAGAGCAAATCAATTACCAATAAATGAAAAATGACAAAAATAATCATCTGTCAATAAATATTACTTCTAGATTATCCAGTTTGGCAATCTCTGTCTTCCAATACTTAAACTATTTACATTTAATGCAATTACTGATAAAGTTGTGTTTAAGTTTACCATGTTGATATTTTATTGCATTTATTTTTGTTCCTTTCTTCTTCCTTTTCTATTTACTTCTGTATTTCACAAACATCACAGTATGCCAGTATGCTTGTTTTAAACAGTCAATATACTTTTAAGAAAATTAAAAAATTTTTTTCTTTTATATTTACCTATAAATTTATCCTTTCTAGTGTTCTTCATTCCTTCCTGAAGATCCTAGATTTCATCAGAGAACATTTCCCTTCAGACTGATAACCCCCTGTAGACTCTCTTACAGTGTAAATCTGCTGGTGACTATATATATTTTTTCTGAAAAGTCTTTAGTTGGCATTCATTTATGAAGAATGTTTTTTTCTGGGTATTAAAATGTAGGTTGACAGCCATTTTCTTTCAGAAAATGATTTCATTCCATTGCTTTTTATGAGAAGATTCTTACCATTACTTCTCTGAATGTAATACATTTTTTCCTCTTGTTGCTTTTGCAATTTTATCTTTATGTTTCATTTTCTTCAGTTTAATAAAGATGGATTTGGGTGTGGTTTAATTTATATATATATCCTTCTTGGAGTTTGTTAAGCTTTCTATGTTTATAGGTTAATGTCTTCTATTAGAGGTGGAAAACTCCTAGACCATTATTTCTTCAAATATTTCTACACTCCATTTTCTCTATTTTCCCTCTGAAGTTCCAATCACGTGTGTAATTGAAATTCAATTTTTACTAATGTTTCAGTTCCGCTATTGGTTATCTTCCTGGATCCGAACAGTAATAAATCCATTTATTATTCATTCAAATTAAATGTCTAAACCTCCTTCAACCAAGATACTGTATTTACAAATTCCTCCTCACTCCACACCAAGATTAAACTTATAGAAGACTTTCAGTTCTCTATTCTTCTATAAAAATCTATAGTTAAGTTTAAACGAATGAAAATACATGGAGAGGGGCCGGCCCGGTGGCGCACTGCTACACTGCGCCGCTTGGGAGCATGGTGGCGCTCCTGCCGAGGGTTCGGATCCCACATACAGACCGGTTCCCGCTCACTGGCTGAGCGAGGTGCGGGCGCAGCACTGAGGTTTGCGATCCCGTTGCCGGTTCCGGTCCGGTACGGGCGCGACACTGAGGGTTGCGATCCGTTGCCGGACACGAAAAAAGACAAAAAGGAAAAAAAAAAAAAAAAGAAAATACATGGAGAATTTGTAGAAGTGTTAAGTATGAAACAAAAAGAAATACTTAAACAAAAACATCTGTTTTCTTCTAAACCTAACAGAAAAATCTAATGTTTAACCCTATGTCTTGAGATTTCTGTTCTAATTCAGTTATCATTTGGTTAGAATACTCTCTAAATCCTTATATATCCAAATATGCCTTTCTTTGCTGGCAGGTATATGATGCCTTGTCTGAATAATGGATTTCTGGATAAGAAATCCTTTGTCTTGGTTGTCTACATATGTTATGACACTACCAGCCAGCTTCTAGTGTTTTATATGAAAAGACCAATGCTCACCTGACTTTCCTATCCCTTCTATGGAGAAGTTTGTGGTATTTTCCCTGTACCTAGCAAATCAGGAATTACCCCAGGGTATGCCTAAGTGTGCCTTTCTCATCATTAATCTTTCTTAGAATTTGATGAGCCTTTTAACCTGCAGTATCATCATTCTTCTGCTCAGGGAAATTTTATCCTATTATTTAATTTTGTAGCTCATCTTATCTTTACCTTTACAAGTTTTATCTTTCTGATAATCCTTTCACTTAATCTTCTAGGTGAACATCTTCTTCACTCTAAAGAGTTTAAAATTTGAGATCCTGTAGTTTAGCTTCTTTCTAGAGATCTATAAAGACTAAGGTAAGAGAAATGGCAAACCCCAGAGAATATATCAAAGGATGAAGTTTTTTCTGGGATCTCAGTGCCAGTATGTTGGGGCAAAGGGTAGAGGTAGAAGGGTTCTGTTTCACTTAGTGCTGAGCAAGGACCTGTGCAGAGTAAGCAAGCTCTTTTAAAGGCAGGAAACTGAGTTTTCAGAGTTCTATGAGGG